CAATGCTCCAGCGGCATTCATGGACCTCATGCACAGGGTGTTCCAACCCTATTTAGATCAATTTGTTGTGGTTTTTGTTGATGACATCTTGATCTACTCCAAGTCTGAGGAGGAGCATGAGAGTCACTTGAGAATTGTTCTCCAGACATTGAGAGATTATCAGTTATATGCCAAGTTCAGCAAGTGTGAATTCTGGCTTACTGAGGTGAAATTTCTGGGACACGTGGTGTCGGCTTCGGGTGTATCCGTGGACCCGGAGAAGGTTGAGGCAGTTATGAATTGGGAGAGACCGAAGTCAGTCTTCGAGATACGTAGTTTCTTGGGATTGGCGGGGTATTACCGGCGATTTATTGAGGATTTCTCTCGATTGGCTGCACCTATGACGAAGTTGACCCGGAAAGATGTCAAGTTTGTGTGGAATGATTCTTGTGAGAATGCATTCCAAGAGTTGAAGAAGAGGCTTACTTCAGCTCCTATTCTGATAGTTCCAGAACGAGGACAGAGGTACACGGTCTATTGTGATGCCTCGAAGGACGGGCTGGGATGTGTTTTGATGCAGTCTGGGAGGGTAGTAGCTTATGGTTCTCGACAGCTAAAGAATCACGAGCAGAATTACCCCACACATGACATGGAGTTAGCAGCCATTGTCTTTGCCTTGAAGGCTTGGCGTCACTACCTGTATGGTGAGCAGTTTGAAGTATTTTCGGACCACAAGAGTTTGAAGTATATTTTCACACAGCGGGACCTCAACATGAGGCAACGCCGGTGGATGGAGTATTTAGAGGACTATGACTTCACTTTGCATTACCATCCTGGTAAGGCAAACGTGGTGGCTGATGCACTTAGCCGAAGGTCACGGAGAGTTTTGGCTAGTGTAGCTTCCCGGGAGTGGCAGATGCTCGAGACTGTGGGACAGTTCGGGCTATGTTATATGGGTCAGGCTCAGGGTACTTTGGGGAGTTTGGTGACTACACCGTCTCTACTGAGCAGGGTGATTGAGTCCCAGAGTCAGGACACGGAGCTATTGTCCATCCGGGACCGTGTACAGGCAGGTATGGGTGACGAGGGCTGGGCTACTCACTCAGATGGTAGTCTTCGATATCGAGGAAGGGTTGTGGTTCCTCAATTGGCAGATCTGAGGGAGGAGATCCTTAGGGAGTTTCATTGCTCCCGTTTTGCAGTTCATCCAGGGGGCACGAAGATGTATCATGATCTTCGTCGCCAGTATTACTGGAGTGGAATGAAGAGGCAGGTTGGCGATTTTGTCAGTCGATGTCTCACGTGTCAGCAGGTTAAGGCTGAACACCAGAGACCAGCGGGATTACTCCAGCCTTTGGAGGTAGCTGAGTGGAAGTGGGAGCATATCACGATGGATTTTGTGACCCATTTGCCACGGACATCGCGGGGTCATGACGCGGTGTGGGTGATAGTGGACCGGCTTACTAAGTCGGCACACTTTTTGGCTGTGCGGATGACCTTCACATTGGAGGAATTCTGCAGGTTGTATATACGGGAGATTGTCCGGCTGCATGGAGTACCTGTATCTATTGTATCGGACCGGGATCCCAGGTTTACGGCTCATTTTTGGGAGAGTTTCCAGCGAGCCATGGGGACACAATTAATGATGAGCACTGCTTTTCATCCCCAGACAGACGGTCAGTCTGAGAGGACTATCCAGACTTTAGAGGACATGCTACGGGCATGCGTCCTAGATCTTAAGGGTAGCTGGGAAGATCACTTATCCTTGGTGGAGTTTGCATACAATAACAGTTACCAGGCGAGCATAGAGATGGCACCCTATGAGGCACTATATGGGAGGCCATGTCGTTCTCCGGTTTGTTGGACGGAGGTAGGAGAGAGGTCTTCTACGGGTCCGGAATTGATCAGAGACACCTCGGAGAAGGTGGACTTGATTCGGAAGCGTCTTCTCACGGCTCAAAGCCGGCAAAAGAGTTATGCTGATAGACGGCGACGACCTCTAGAGTTTGAGGTGGGAGATCATGTCTTCTTGAAGGTTATGCCTAAGAGAGGAGTGGTCCGGTTTGGTAAGCGGGGGAAGCTGTCACCGAGATACATCGGGCCTTTCGAGGTACTTGAGAGAGTGGGTACAGTTGCTTACCGGTTGGCATTACCGCCAAATCTATCGAGTGTTCATGCAGTATTCCATGTCTCTATGCTTCGGAAGTACACCCCACATCCGACTCATGTGGTGGATTGGGGAGAGCTTGTTGTTGATGCTGATGGGACTTTCGAGGAGGGACCGGTGCGCATCATGGATAGCCGGGAACAGGTTTTGCGAGGCAAGACCGTGCGGCTAGTGAAGGTGCTGTGGCAGCATCGAGGAGTAGAGGAGGCGACATGGGAGCGCGAGGACACTGTCCGTACTAGTTATCCTTTCTTGTTCGAGGATGGAGGTACATTCTTCTGGTCATTTAGCATTAATTGACTGTTGTATATGCATGTGATTGTATGTGCATGTGTATGTGAATTTCGGGGACGAAATTCTTTTAAGGGAGGAAGAATGTGAAACCCGGAAAAAATTTAACTTTTTCTGAAAAAAATGGCAAAATGGTAATTTGCCATTATAGTGCGGGTTAAAAAAAACTGGTATTTTTATAGACCTCGGATGATGAAACGGACCTCACCGTTGGATTCGTCTCACGAAATCTAGTTACCCAGACAAATTTCGTCGAATTCTGAGATAGTCAGATTTTTTCACATTTTCGAGGTGACGGGTGTTCGATGACCCCTAAAAACGAAATTTTTATAAAAAATTTTAAATTTAAAAAATATTTTAAATAAAGTTCATATAAAATATTTTGAGCTTAAATCGGTACGAAATTTAATCATTTCGGGGTGAAAACGGACCCGGACAAAGGACGACACTTGGCGCGACGAGGGCCAAGTGTTTAGAAAGTATAAAAGTGGGCAAATATCTGAAAAATCAGATATTTTCTCTTCATTTGGCGGCTGGATCAGACCCAAGAGCAAAGAAGAAAAAAATATAATTCTTCAAGCTTTCTTTCGCCGATTCTCGGAGTTCCGTCGGTCGAAATTCGTCGGGCCAAGAATTAAAGTCGATCTACGCGACGAGAGCTACGCGTGGGTACCAAAAACAAAGATTTTCACAGAAGATTCAAAGGGAGATTTTGGAGAAATCTAAGCTTTGGGCTTCAATCTTGTTCTTGAGGCTTCCTACAAATTCTTTACGCTTCAAGAGGTAGGGTTCCTCCTACTCAGACCTATTTCTAACCTAAGGTGTCCATAGGGTTCATGTGGGCTGTTTTGGGTATTTCTAATATTTTTCCATTATGATTGGTGCTATGAAAATGGGTAGGATCAATTCTAGTGTGAATTGGTAGTTAGAAAGTGCTAGTTTGTGATTTCTTGAATGTTTAGATAATTGGATATATAAAAATCATATATTCTGATTTTTATTTTGTTTGAATGATCCATATAAAATCTTGACTTGATTTTGGTATATGGAAGTATTTATGTAATCCCTTGGAAATTGGGATCATGTGGGCATGCTTTGTGTTTTATATTATGCCTTGTGAATGAAATGTAATATTAGCATGTATTATGTGTTATCATGTTGATGGAGTGTTGATATATGCTCTTGGATATATTGAACTTGAAATGGTTATGTGATTATATGCAAATGATATTAATTGTCATGGTATACAATGATATTTAAAAATTGTCATTTGACATGTATTGCAATATGGACATGGAATTAACATCACATTCATGGGCTACATGCATGAGTGTGGGTGTAGGGTTGCATGAGGTGATCAACACCAACATTGGTACTTGATGGTAGGCTCGGAAAAGTGGGATGGAACGTCATACGGAGTCGCACGGTGACATGCATAAGAAAACTTGTGTCGGGTATAGCAAGTAGGGCTAGACATTCCCTTGGGTGAAAAACCTGGCCACTTGGTTCATACACTTACCGGCGGTGAAATTCTAGAAAAGTGTAACGGCGTACGGAACCGGAGGTGCAATTCCTGAATCCGATACCCCATAAAGGCACATGATTTTGATATATAAATTATTCATTTGATGGAAAACATCAAGAATGAATTAGTTTTATGACATATGGTTGATTTAAAATGATCTTTGGATGTGTTTCATAAAGACGTTTGTTTTACACGTAAGTGTCGCATTGTGTTGTGGGAGTCGGTGTGGGCTCGGGATAACATGCATGGGTGAGTTTCATCTCATTACTTGGCATGACATCATGATTTTCCAACATTGTATTATATGTTATTGTTGGAGGGAATACTTGTTGTGAAATGTTGCATTTATACATTGCATATGCATTTTAGGTGATGAGTAGCCTCTGCAGGAATTATTCTACTGGGCATTGGCTCACCCTATACGGGAAACATTTCAGGTGTGGGTCATGCACCAATGGACGGCTCACAATCAGGGTCACATGGTTGAAGAAAAGCCGACTTGTGGCTTCCAATCCATTTTTTTTTTTTTTGTAAAAGTAGCTTTGTAATTAAATTTTGGCAAGTAATGTGTAAAGGAATTGTAATAGAGTCTATATGGACTGTTTGAATATAACCTTGCATATTTTGATATAAATATGATGATTGGACCCGGTGTGGTCAAGTTTTACGTATAAAATGGACCTTGTGTGGTTATGGTATTATATTGGACCTCAGATGAGTCATGTAAATGTTGATTGCACAGATTGTATTTTTGGGGTAGAGTTTCCCGTACAAAGGAGACTCTACCCGAATTTTGTTAAATTATGGATCCCGATAAATGGGACACAATGGTGCAATATCGAGTTATACGGTATCCAAGGGCATTCCGTGGGTGATGGGAAATTAACGGACCCCATGAATTTGGGGTGTCACAGCTTTACCCCCCCCCCCCTAGAACTCCTATCAAAGAAATGTTCAGATGAACTATACACTACCATCCAGCTGCTGACAGTTTGCACTCCGCTACTGCTGATAATACCTGCTAAGCATTCTGCAAACTCATCCCCATTCCTTATGATGACATACCACATTCTGCCTGATCCTTGCCTTAGGCAAACCTGATTGGTCCTGGAGTAATAGCATTCTTCCAGCTGTTGGCAGTTCTCTACTGACAGAAAAATTAGTAGACATCTCAGTCTGAACAACATATGAAGCTAAGAAATCAGCAATACCATTTGCCTCCCTATACACATGTTTAAACTAAAACTGCAAAGCCCCAAGAAGCTTCCAGATCTCATCCAAAACTCCCTTTAACCTCCAAGGAGCATCTACTTTTCCCAACACCATCTGAACCAATACCTGGGAAGCAGACTCTATCAAAAATTGACAGTCCTCGTAACCATGTTGCATAATCAACTTTAAACCATCAAACAAAGCACTAACCACCCACCACCAGACAAACCACTGCTCCCCTTGGAGGCACCATCCACGTTCATTTTCATCATGTTCAAAGGAGGGGATTCCCATCTGATCCATTTAACTGAGGTGATCACAGAAAAAGGACACACAATTTTAAGATCCTACAACATCACCTTACCCAACATCCCATCCTCCCTCTTAGGTCTAATCATAAAAACTTGTCATCTTAAAGCACTAACCACCTGCATGAAAATAGCAAAAGTGTTCAGCCTCAACCCTTCAAATCCTCTCTCCTTCCATAAGGCCCAAAAGATTAGCATAGAAACTCCCCTGATCAAAGTATGACTCAGGGACTGAGCTCTACATATTTTAATCAATCTCAACATTCTGCAGATTGGGGATTCACCCATCAAAATCTCAAATCCCATAACAGTGGACACTCTTCTCCACACAGCAAGAGCATAAATTACAATTAACAAATAAATGACTAGAACTCTCCTCCTCCACCTCACACAAACTGCATCTACTAGCAAGAGACTGCATACTTAATTAACATAATAAATTAATATTACATTAAAACATTCAATTCTTCAAATCAACATTAAAATTTAACTTAATTAATATTAAATTCATCCAATTTATATCCATAATCACTCAATTAACATTTAATTCATTCAATTAACATCCAATAAAAATTCACTTTGTTAAACTAACATTCAATTTCATCGATTTATATTTAATTTATCAAATTAACTTCCATCTACCATTCAACTCATCAAATTAGATTAACATTCATATCCATCCAATTAACACTTAATTCAATAAATTAACATTTGAAATAATCGTCAATTAATCAAATTTTTAGTGTATACGATGTAAGAATACAACTTTTTTAGTGTATTTTTAGAGGTAAAATTACGGTAAAAATTTATAATCTTACTACTAAATTATCACAACCATGCTTATCACTACCATTACCATGTTCATTTTATGTATAAAGAACAAAGATATTTTAGATTTTTGACAAAAACACTACTGCTAGTTCAACTGCAATTACATACAATTGTTACTACTATTAGTTCAACTATTATATAAAAACCAACAACTACAATTACACACAATTGTCACTTCCTAGCTATTTCTTTGTTTTTCATAAAAAAAGACTCAATTCTATCCAACCTACTATCAATCCCCTTCAGAGACTCCTTTATTTCATTTTGAGTCTCCTTTATTTCATTTTGAGTCTCCTTTATTTCATTGAGTATTTTCAAATTTCACTATCTTTCTGCTCAATCGTACCAGCAACATTCCATATACCTACAATGGATTAGGAGGAAGACCAGCTGTGGAAGAATTTGGGACACCAACGGTGGAAGAATTTGGGGCATCCTGGGCTTGGGCTTCATCATCCTCAACTTCAACTTCATCCTCGACTTGTGGCTGCAGTTGCTGAGTTTTATTCTTCTTCCCTTGCCCCAAACTCTTCTTTATTGTCTCACCATAAATTGGATTCATGGGAGTGGAATAAGTGTCGCTTGAGTGAATCACAACTCCACAATCCTCCATAATCTTTGAAATCAAAATTAGGAATGCAAGACATCGTCCCCTAGCCTTCATACCTTGTACCGAAATAATTTCATTAATTATTAAACAAGGTAAATCTATACATATACCCTTTCCAATGACATACAAGAGATGAGCTCGATCAAGTCCAAAATTAGCAGTATGTCCTCTTGGTATAATATTGTACCCCATTATAAGATTTAACATCCTATATTTGGGAGTAAGGTCTTGCTGAAAAAATTCTGGATTGTCAACACTCACTAAATTTATTACGTATACCCTCAATTTCTGCATGAACATATTTCAACTTAGGTATGTCCTTAAAATTCTTGAATGGATAGATAAGACTATTGTTAGGAATGAAGGGTCGGCGAACTCCTAGTATTTTTGAAACTAACTCTGGAGTTACTTCAAAACTTACGTTCCTCACAAGGGACTTAAATTTGTGATCATCTTTATCAATATCATCCATATTAGAATAAAATATCTTCACCAATATATTATATATTTTATCCATCTTCTTGATATCTACTGCAAAATTCCATTGATGAAGAGGAAAAAAAAACATCACATCCTACCTCTTTTAATTGATCTAGTAAAACACATCTCTCCAATAACAAAGGCTTATAATTAATGCAGTTCTCATACCACTGTTTGCACTTTTTGTTGAAGAAAGATATGTCATATGGGGTTGGATGAGCTTGGTGGATGATTAACAGTAGGATCAACTGGATTAAAGGAGGTGGGATTGGTGGAGGTGGGATCAATAGTGGGATCAATGGAGGAAGGATGATTACATTTCTTCTTCGAGGAGGAGGAGGGAGGATCATTACAGCTTTTCTTCCTCTTCATTTTTTCATTGGTATCCACAACTTTTGGCCTATATTTCTTTCTACCGGTCATTTTGTTGTAACAAGAAAAAAATCTAGTAAAAAAAAAGAGCAATAACATGGAAAATTATCTATTATTTTGAGCAATAACAATTGATGGAGATGTGAGGAAGATAGGATTGTATTAATTTTGAACCATCACTCACAAAAATCATAATTCGTTCAACCCCAAAACACATCCCTTATGCAACTATTTGTACAAAAATTTTATGAAATTGAGAGAGAGATAGAGACAACTATGTATACAAAAATATGACGAAAGAAACTTGTTTTTTTGCTAATTAAACCAAAAAGAAAAGAAAACTACTGTAGAGGAGCCGCATTCTTGTGACAATCACTGTACAGTATACACCCCACACACAAAAGTTAGACAACCACGAGACCCCAAGTCGCAGGCACCTGTCTCTCTCTTCTCTAATGGAGAAACACGATGCAGGCTGTTTTGAGACGATTAGGGCACCAAACTTTGAAGCCCTCACCTGATTTAGGGTTTTGGGTATGCAATTAGGATGTCATTCACCGATTTGGGCTTAGATTTGGGGTTAGATCACTGATTTAGGGTTTGAGAAGTTGGGTTTTCGATTTCCTTTTGTTTGTTTGGGGGAATAAAAGAAAAAGTTTGATCGCTATATTGAGCGATCTAACTTGGATCGCTATTTAGCGATCGGGCATTCCTTAGCGTTCAAGTTTGCAAACCATTCTTGATCCCTTGACTAATCTTGATCACTCAAACCATCGACCAAGATTTTAGCTTCAATAAATTTCACTTATCCCTCAAAATTATCACTTTTTTTAATTTTTCCTCATATTTTTCATATTACACCCTCAACTATTAATTAGTTTCATATTCCCCCAAATTATTTTACCTATTTTAATTTAACATATTTGATAACTTTGTTATAATTTATTTGGCGTGAAAAACAAATGTTGTAATAATTTTACCTTAACCCAAAATATAACCCCAAAAAATGGCAATTTTACCCAAAAAAATTGTGATAATATAACTTACTGTAACATTTTAGTAATAGCCAAAAAAATGTGCTAAACTTTAATTGTAATTTAGCCTCCGTGAACTTAATAACCTAATCCTAACCTCTAATATTTTTAAAATTTAATATCACTCAATCACCTATTGTAAAATTTTTCTTATATTTTTATTTCAGATTTAAATATGATAAATAATTATAATTTCTATTATCACTTAAAATAGTGATGAACTTAGATATTGTAATTTTTTTATTATATTTTTATTTAGGTTTAAATAAGATAAATAATTATCATTTTTTAAAACTAATTATAATTTCTATTATCACTTTTTTTTAAGTATGTAGCGGTTTTATTTATTTTTAAAATATATACTGGTTAAACAGGTTATAAGTTTTGATAAATTTAAGAGTGTAGAGGTGTCAACACTACATTCATTTTCACTTTTCGGTATCGTACCAATTTTCACATTTTCGGTATTGAAGCCAACTCCCAACATTTAAGTAAGATGGTTTTGTTGATTACGTCATGCAAAAAGAATAATTTGTTGTGGATTATTGTCTAGATCCATGTCCTACCTATCAATATTTTGAAGTCATTTTCAAAAATAATATTTTTTTCATCAAGTGCACAACCTTTAGATAGTGTGGGATCGTCTCCATCAATGAATTCTGCCCCAAAAGTCAATGTTATAATCATTAACGATTGATTTCTTCCAATAACCTGCATCGTTACGAAACTTATTACTAATATCCACAAGTCATTTTGGTGTATATATATAACTACACTTATGAAACAATGGGATGTTTAATCACAATTTGTGTTGCCTGTATTTTTTATGATTGTCGTTTCGAGACATGTATATGTATTTATGTTATATTAACAACATTAACTATATTGCCTTATTTTGTTGTGGAGGGTCTCCAAATAAGTAATTTGTAGGTGGTGTATAAACGTATGTATAATAGAGACCTATTGTCTAGTATTGTCTTTTTTTTTATTTACAAGCATAATTTTCGAATTATAATTATGCGTTTGTGTTGTACATTTTTTTTATGCATGTTGCATATGATTTTGTGATAAACTGTGTATTGTACAAATTAAATTAAAAAAATTATAAATATATTTTCGGCTATATGTTGTAAAAAATTGTAATTTATTAAATCATTTTTTTTTTCAAAACTTAGACAATATTATTGGATTAGATTGACATCATTCTAATCCAAACTTGGTACATGATTAGATTACATTTATTTACAAAAAAGTACAATGGTCATTTTATTATCTTTTATGTTCACATGTGAATGGGGCCACAAACCAAATAATTTCTATCCAAAGATGGGATAGAATTAGATACATTATATTAGAAATTCTATAAATCGAATTATTTTGTATTGAGTTGGATTGGATTTGAATTCAAATTCAATTCAACCCAATTCACCCATGTCTATCCAAACGCCCCAAAAGGTTTTTCATGTGGCCTAGATCAGCCTGAATTTACCCCTGGCGCCCCGATACAAGCATTATAGATTCTCTTAGGAGTTTTTTTTTCTTTTGATCAGAATTCTCTTAGGAGTTGAAAATTTGACTTTTTAAGGAACTTTGAATGATAATAGAAATTGTTGAAATGTATTCACTTTTGAGTATTCTAGATAACGATTTGTTGAATCCTTTTTCTTTGGATAAAAGAAGGCAGAGTATTTCTTCCTCGGGGAATGCCTTTGTGAGAGGCGCGCCCGAAACATTTTGGGGTCTAAAATAAAAATTAATAAATTAGGTATTTCATTTTTTATTTTTAATATTAATAATAAATTTATTTAATTTTTTTGAAATATAAAAGTATTAATTAATTTTTTATATTCAAATTTTTGTTATCATAGTTAGACTTGATGGTAAGAGAGAGAAAGAGGAGGGAAGGAAAGAAAATGATTGAAAAATTATGATGTTAAGTTTTTACTTATTTTTTTAGGGGTTAAGACTTGATTTTTAGTAGTTTAGCTTTATTGTTGGTTTTTTTTTTAAAAATAAAAATTATATTTTGGGGCATTTTAGTTTCATGGACTGATTTAACTGACGCAATTCGCTCAAGTTGACATATTTTATTTGGATTTAACTCTAAATTTTTGTGAGGCCTATTTCTTATGGATTTAGAATTTCTGTTTAGACTATTACTACACACTTAAAAATTATGAAACCCTCCTTAAAATAAGGCCTCAAACCTAAATTGTATTGGCCTAGTGATTGGGCCGACCTTGACCCTTGTAAATCTCTTTTTGAGTTCTTAATCGATAATTCTTGCTTACCAATCTTCCAACCTTCATTTATTATATGGAAATCTAAGGGTCCTCTAAAGGTTCAAGTTTTTGCTTGGTTGATTTGCTCCAAAAAATAAGACTGTTATATTTTTTTAATCCGCAATGGTATATTCTGTACAAGTGTGAGAAAGAACGTATGGATCACCTATTTTTGCATTGTTCGTTTGTAAACAAGTTGTGGAATATGCTTTTGGGTGTGGTTGGTACCCCTTGGGTGTGTGCCCTAAAGATTGTGTTTTTTGGTTTAAGCAACAAAGGAAAGAGGTATTTTAGTATTGTAATGAGTGGTGTGGTTATAAAGAAATCGTAGATTTTTTCAAGACAAAGAGATTTTTTGGGAAGACTTAGGAGATAAAGAAACTCTTGACTTTTCTTTTGGTTACCAAGTCTAAAGATTCTGAAGGCATTAAGTGTGTGTTGATTGATGATGATGCACATTTATATAGCCCGATAGTTTTTTCTCAGCTTTCATTTTCTTTCTTATCTTGAGGAGTCTTTGTCTTCTCATTGCTTTTACTTAGACAGAGAGAGTAAGTTTGCATTAAATTACAACTACATCTTGGTCTCTTTTTCACTCGGCAATAATGGTATGCAATAGACTATGACACCAATCTTTATTTGATAGTGTGTAACAGTAAAACAAGATTTAAATAATTGGTACAATATTCGGGTGAGTTAAAAGCAACCATCAATCTTAATGCTAACACATTGGATGTGTTTGGGTAGTAGATTAAAGTGGGTTAACACCATATAGATAGGCTAATAAAGCAATGGGTCTCATAAAACCCTTGTTTGGAAAGCAAAAATTGAGTGAGGATATAAATTCCGTGTCAAACCTTCACTCAGGTGCTACAATGTTTTTTATCCAAGTTACACGGGTTAAATGTAACCCACCTCCCTCCATGGGTTACAAACCAAACGAATGGGATGTATTGCCTAATTACTATAATACCCCCTTCTTTACCATTTAACCCTAATCACTTGCCCTTGCTTTCTCCAAACCAGAGGACATAGACTGTGGATGACAGGAACACCAGCCCTTGCTATGTCTTCTCATCCTCTCCAATACACCAGCCTCCATTCCACTATTCATCAACTTAAAAGCAACATGAGAGAACCACCTGGGTGTTGAGGTATGTTCTCTCCAAACCAATGGCAGATTTAATTTTTTTTTTTTTAAATTTCTTTGAGTTGTTGAACCAGAAGCCATAACCCATCAACAAACATTTTTTTGTGAAATTTCTTACTAGGCCATAAACGAAAGCAGAGAGGAGGATTTGGTTATTGGGTGTAGAGTTTTTTTTTTTCAAAAAACTTTTTCTTAATCAGAATCTCTAACCCGCCACGAAGAAGATGACAGAGTCAAGATCTGTCTCTTCCTCTCCCGCAGCTGCTGTCTAGATCTCTCTCTCTCTCTCTGCCTGGTTATGGTCCAAGACAGATCCGTTTTGTTCTGTTTCTCATCTCTTTGAAATTAACGTTGGTGAATGGTAAACTTGTACAAAACCAAAGGTGTCAAAATACGTGGGCCAACAAAAGTGATTTGTTCTTTGGATTGGATAGGAATCATAACCCATCCATTTAAGTGGCCGATTGGGTTTGGGTGGAATGGGTTAGAAAACAAAAAGTCCTATCCTTACCGGTTATCCAAACAAGCCCATTGTTGTGTTCTACTTCATGAAGAAATTGCTTCTTGTTGGCAACCACATGATGCTAGCTTGGAGTATTGTATAACATGGATAATTGGAAAGCTACTTCACAAGAGTTGCAATTGCAGTTCTGATTCACTTTCTTTTTTTAAAATAAATAAATTTAAATTCTGTATAGAATTGGCATATATAGAGAACCAAAATGTATTAGTGATGCATCGGTGGCCGTGTAAATGGATATGATTTTATGTACCGAGAATATTGAGATTCAAACGACAGATTAATCGTAAGTTTTTAAAAGTCAAAGAAAATTTTGAAATTATCATAGGCCTTAGAAAATTATAAATATATCATCTTATTTTTATAGATTGAAAAAAGGTCAAAAAAAAAAAATTAAGACTATAGAAGGAGCCTGTCTAAGAATAATATTTTGGCTCTGCCCCCCTTATTGAAAAGGGATGGAACAGAAATATTTTTGAGAAAAGGTACGACGTTCATCCATAATTAGTTAGACAAAGATAAAATTTAGGATGTAATAATCTACGTTCCTCCTTTGATGAGTGATTTTGTTAACTGGAATATGCCTCGTATCTTAAGTTGATAAGCACCTCTTAAAACGGGGGACGTTTTCCCAAACCCTAGGACTACTTCCTAAAAGAGGGATTGATATGAGGAAACATTAAGGTCGACTAATTCATCTTTCCTTCAGAGTACTGTTCCTTGTTTTGTGTCAAATTAAAATTCAAATAACCGTCAATAAGAGAGAAAGAAACTGTCGAGAGAAGTGACTATAAAAGAAAAAAAGGAGGAAGACAAAAGACAACTCAAACCCCCGCAAGACCCACGATCAAAGCATTTAGGAGTAGTGCTAGAATTAGTTTTTAGGAGGTAGTTAGTGTTGCAATCAAAGATTGTTAAATCAGTCATTCTATAATCGAAATTCACTCAATTGAATTAATGAAGATATATTTCTTTGTTAGTTCAATATTTTGTGTGTTTTGTTATCGAATCTTATCTAAACAAGTCCTAAATCAAGGCAATAGAATCCATCCACAAGCATTTACCTAAGAACTATTTGTCAGTCGCAACAAATTTTTTGAGCAACAATCTTTTGGCACGCCGAGTGAAACATCATTACTAATTTGGATTAAGGAAGATGGTACTAACAAGAAAACAAGACAAGATCATATTTAAGACTAATGGAACTGTGGAAATGACACCAGTTGATGGCAATCATGAAGCAAGTTCGAATACTCATCTGTGGCATCTGCAAACCCAGCCAATGGCCAGTTCAATGGCCAAGAAAGTGTGCAAATGCAGGAGTTTGTGTAGAACTTGAAACATGTACTGTCATCCTTGCTAATGTCAAGTTTACCAAATAGTCAAAAACATCCTCATCCCTTCACTGACGTCAATCTCAACAATAAAATAGGTGATATTATTTGTTTTGAATGAGAAATAGTAGATATTATTAGAGAAAAAAAATAATGTATGAAATCAATCAAAAAAAATCAAGCATCACTGTAATTATTTGACATGAAGTCACAAGCTAAGTTTCATAAATTTCTCACTATGTTGCTTATTTAGTGATCGCTACAACTTTCAAACACAGTAATTATGTTGAACATAATAAAAGAGAAATTTCATTTTTTTTTCTTGGTGAAACAAAAAATCCTTTACCTCCTAGAAGGAATAAGGAAAAAGAAATGCAAGTAATAAAAAAGGCATCTTTGCTTGGTTAGGCCCGGCAGGCCAAAACAATTTTTCATGAAAGAAAAAACTTAAGATGACAGAAACAACAACTCACCATCAGAATAAAAAATTTCCACGAAATAACACAGGAATTTTTTTTTAAAATCTCTAGAGTTTCTTAGAATTCTATTTATACAAAAATATACGAAATTGAAAATATGAAAACCAAAGTAAAATGCTATCATGATTTAATCTTCACACACAGACTTAAAAAAAAAATGTCATACCATTCTGTTTGATCAACAAGAAAGTAGAGAAAATAAAAGAGAAAAATTTGGAAGGTTCCTAGTCCTGGTCAGAGACCAATGTGTTCGAGTCGGCGGTCCAACAAAGAGGCAAAATAGTGGTATCTTTCTTTTCATTACGAATGACACGCTTCGCCTGCTCTTTCCCCATGTCCACTAGCACTCCTATCTAGAGCGAAGAGAAGGAGAAAAAGCGCCACCGAAACAGCATAAGCAGAGAATAAGACAAAATGATACTTAAAGAAGAGAGTTCCTTAACTTCCCCAAAGAGTAAGGTTTAGATGATGTTTCAATTTTTCGGTGCTTATAAGAAAGGGTGAATGATCCAACAAGAGAAGATAATAGAATATTTATAACTTTATGAAATTCCTTCAAGTTAACATAGAAAATCAGGCAGTTGACTAATGAATAGAAATAGGCTCCAATGAAGCATATTACCTTTACAATGGTCTCAAACACCGTAACAATGAAAGAAGCTGTGGTGAGATTAACCTGAAGGAAGCTAGACATTATTTCCAAAAGCAAAAAAAATATAAAAATAAAATTAATTAAAAGTATACCTCACGAAAGTATTTTTCACTAATTCTAAGTGGCCGAGAATTAGCCAGACGAGATCATATACCTTGATTTTCCACTACCCAGAATAGCAGATAAAACCAAATGCTTGTCACTTGCCTGTGTATCAAAACACACAACTAAAACAAATACAAATTATATTTAAGAAATTGAGAAGATTAAAAGGGTTCTTCACGTCACTCAATACTTCATGTTCTAGAATCTTATTGATTTTTTTGTATGTACACAAAGATAGATCCAAATAAAAAAGTACCATCCTATGCCCACACACTCTATGATACGAAAGACCCCCTCCAAAACATCAAGAAGCAACATAAACAATGAATTTTTCGGTAATTCTCAATCGATAACATTGATAAACCGAAATTACATACAGAAATACATGGAAAAAGTTGGGCTTTCAATCCAACAATGAATGGATTAATTTTATACACGAGATACAATGAAGGGGGAGAGATTGCATATGATATAAGAAGTTGTACCAAGGATTTGAGAGCAATGTCAGTGTTGTAAAGGGCTTGTTGTACAAATGAAGGGTGCAATTGGTGTTGTCAACATGATAACGTGATGTAACTGTTACACCTAATATTTTCTGGTTCATATGACTTTGAACTGAATGCTCAACAAAGTAGACAGACCAATTAATACTCAAAAGAACCACAAGCGGAAAACCAATTAATGGATCGAAGTGATCATTTAAAACTACGGAGTTTGTAAGCATTACTTTCCACCTACCTCCACCCCATGATTGCTTGAAGAAGGAAAAGGGTGAAGCCATTACAGAACCCCTCAGAATTCAGAAAACCAACCAGCTTTACCAGTAATATCTCCATTGCATTTGGGACCACCCCAACTTCACAAATTAAGAGGGGAAACTGAAAGTGTAAAAGAAACAACTTATAGCAGACTACACCCAAAACATACCCCCACGCATACAAGTTTTGCGGGTTGAAATACAATTTTTTTGAATTTATTTACAATAAAAACATTTACTACTTTTATGGGGTTTCTTTGGAATTGATACTAAAATTTTCAGATCGACTCAAATAATCCAAAAATTATAAATGACTTTCAAAATTTATAAATGACTCTTAATAGTTTTCCTAACAATTTTAGGATCAACCACACATAACCCAAAAGCTACTCCTTAAAAATTATAAATAAACATCAAAATTTGTAAAAGAAAAATAAAATTACATGTGGTGGTATGCTACTAATATTTATCATTTATAGATATTTTTATCACTGATGTGGTACTAAAAAAAATGATAAAAATTATCATAACAAATATGTTAAAAATACCTATAAAAGTGATAATTTTTTTTGTACACAAAAAAGTAATAAAAATAACTAACAAAAAAGTGATAAAAATCCTCATAAAAATAATAAATTATTCATAAAAATGATAAATTTTTTATTATAAAATAATTTACTATAATTATAAAAATATCCATTAATATAGTACAATTTGAATTTAAGATGCACAATTTTTTTTGATATAATAGGCAAATCCACAGAAATGAGATCTGTGAAAATGGAAGCTAGCCAGGAGCATCAAACCAGAGATTGGGGGAAAAAAAACAGAAAAGAAAACTGTCAAAAAAAGATTCGATTGTACGACAAATCTTGTATATTTATAGCTTCAGATTTGTGGCAGTCTTGAAAATGGCGCAAAATGGAAATCTACAACACGTAAAGATGAAAGATTCGTCGTGGCACCCATAAAGTTTCTCGTTTTTTGTCTCAAGAAAGACGAAGAAAGAGGTAGTGATCGAATTTATGATGAACCCCTCTCTTGTAGCAAACCAGGGAGACCTTTGATCTATGAACTTGATACTTCACAGTTTTTTATCTCATTAGTGACTTTTATTAATATTTAACGACGGATATTATGTTATATCATTTGATAAAAAAGATTTGATAAATTTTTTTGGAAATCATAGCATTTTCCAAAAAAATGTGTATCAAATCTTTATAATTTATTATTTTAATGAATATTTTTAAATATTTAGAAAATTTATCACTTTTGTGCATAATTTATTATTTTTATAAATATTTTTATTACAAGTGTTTTTACAATATTTGTGATAACTATTTTTATCATTTTTGTTTGGTACAAAAAAATTATTATTTTTATGAATAATTTATCATATTTGTGAATATTTTTATTATATTTATAAATATTTTTACAAATATTGGAAATATTTTTATTACATAGTTAACTCTTTTAGGTTGAAGCAAAGGTTCAACTGCCTATATATTTCAAAGCAAAATGTATCAAACTCCCAACCCCATAGTTTTCACTAAATCTATTTTTCAACACTACATTTCTCCATTTTTATCCACAGAATCGAAATGACTAGGGTTAGAGATTTGTAGGATAGGGAGCTGCTTCAACCAATACCACACAAAGGCAAAAGATCATATGCCCCCTCCAGGTTACTACTTAATCTATTTCAACTTCTCACAAGTTTGGAATTGTTGGGTTTTGATTTGATGCCCTAGAAAAGAAAAAACAAAAACCTTTTGGTGTCAAATATTTCAGTTGATTTCATTGTTTTATGGTTTAAGTTTTGGGATGAGACTAAATATTTTTCTCTCCCAAATCGAAGGCTTACGTCTTGGAAAGAGAAGTTTAATTGGTATGAGAGGAATAGGAAATGAGGTATGATTTCTTCCTGCACATTTGCTTAATCAGTTTTGCATTTCTTCTAGTGATTTATATGCTATTTTTTCATATCTTTGTTGTCTAGGCTGCTTGTATGTTTTGTTGTTGTTTTGCAATAGGTTTCCATATATGTGGTAATAAACGAAAGTAATGTTTTTGGGATTTAAAATTTTGAAAAAATTTGCTGACTTAGTGATATAGTTTCATTATAACCGTTAGATTAACACTAAATTCTAATATTTGATGAGACCCACAAGATCAATCAAATGATTATAATAAATTAGGTTCAAATAATATTACTCACGAAACAATAATGAGGTTTTTTTGGGTCAGATGGGTTTCACCTTGAAAAAACTACAATGATTATTATATGTGAAAGGGATTGAATATCATGTTCAAAGGCTTATGGCACATTAGTTTCGTTGGCATGTCGGTTTCGTTGGATTAAGAGTGATTAATAGAGATTAAATATCATATCCAAAGTCTTATAGCATGTTACTATAGGAATGAACTGTTTCTATTCTTCTTGTAGAGCACACCCGAAGCTCAAGGGTAAATGGCATGTCACACTTCAATTTGGTTATTTCTGTAACAAAACATTAGTGAGTTTTCCTAACTGTGCTGCCTATATACTTTTGAGCAATAAATTCTTTGGTTCTAGTGGAATAGATTCACAATCTATCTCAATGTTTGCAGTTTCAAGGTGATAATCGTAATCCTACAAATATACACTAGAGTGTAACTGTTGATAGTATACTAGACTCTTTTAGGGTCATGACAAAGAAGTTGGTTATGCGGCGTGTTTTTACTCGTGCATGCATACTTGAAATTATGTAGTCTATATTATACCGTTGCTTAGCAAGTGTGATAAGATTTTCTAGAAAATATTTGGAGATAGTGGTTGATTTCAAATCTGCTTATTCTAATGTAATTCCTCCGCAGGTCAAGTGTATTATGCAAATAAACTAACTTGTCCTTTCTTTTTTTTGGTATTGCATCTGTTTTTGGTAATTGTCACTATAAACATATTGTTGTTTTATTATTGTAGGAGAGGGGTGAATTTCTTCTGGATAAGGAATTCATTAGGGAGTTGGATGGGGAATTAATGGATATGGAAAGATTCAGATATATCTAGTTTTTGAGTTATCCTATACCGGAAAGGTGGTGGAAGAAATTAAGTAGTTATTTTTTTTTTTGAATAATATCTAAACCCTATGGATTTGGTATTTGTCTATTTTTTGTTTGCCTAGTTTTACACTAATGGGTGAGTGAATTGTGTTGAACTCTAGAATCTACTTTGTACATGTTATTTGAAAGAAAGCTAATGTCATTGGGCTTGTTGTGCTCATTTGTTATTGTACATTTTCAGAGACGGGCATGCATCTAAGGCACGAGGGAGAGGGGAAAGGGATTTGAATATTTGATCTCAAAAAGACAAAGTTTTCACAAGATAATAAGTATCATTAGACCAAACATTTTTCACAAGGTAAGTGTCTAAAGACCTTCTTCGATGTTTCCTTTCTGTTATTCTTCTTTTCTTTTTTGATTGTGGAACTAACACGCTTTAATTTATCATCCAGTAAAATGTGCTTCAAATACTAAACATGTCCAACATTTGAAACAAGAAAAATGAGTTGGACTATCTATGAGGCAGTTAGACCATTAGCAAGCGTGATAATTTCTATTCGTTTTAGTTGCATAAACGTTTTTCACCTTGTTATTCCATTGGGTCACAAATAAAATGACTACCCATCATAATTCATAAATCAATATGATAGCAGGATTCATCATCAAATACAAACCATAAAATAGATTTAATTTTATTACGAGAGTGTACCAAGTTTTAGCTGAAAATGAAAATTCCTTACATATATGTTCTCGAACAAAACCGCTGAAGTTGAACGTAAAATTATGTGGTAAGAACACATCATCAATATGATAGATAAAAGAAGCATATAAAAATTAAAGTCGGCCCATTCACCTTGGAAAATAAATAAAATGATGGCAAATAAAAGTGGAATAAATTGTGATTTTTCAAAATAAATGAAATATTGAAATTACAATGAGTATAATAGGTTAAACAAATGCAATAAATATAATAAGTTCACAGAAAAAACTCAAAATATGTTTAGCTAGTAATTATCAAGGATATAACATTAATTCTAATCATATAGAAAGATCTATATGCGGATTCTTTTAATTAAATTTATGTTAAACAGTGTAATTTGATGATAACCAAGTATTTCTTGTTTTTAATTTTGCATGTTCCAATGGATTAACCTTTCCAGAGTGCCAAGATCTATCATTGGCTAAAAGACCCACAAATTCGACGCACATGCCAATTTAGGGTATTACTTATTTTAACCACATTTCACTTAACTATTCATCGACCTTTTGAAGCTAAGGTTGTACACCAATAATTTATTGTTGAATATCTACCAAAAAAATAGTAGTTGTAATTTTTAATAAAAATAAACTCAAAATCCGGTCTTAAAAGTTTTTTCTTTGGCCATGTGGTCTAAAAAGTTCACTTTGAGAAGTTAATGCATGATATACATGCTCTTTTACAAGTGAGAGACTCTCCTATA